GAGAGAGAGAGAGAGAGAGAGAGAGAGAGAGAGAGACAGTCCTAGTTTCCTTTCTATCACTGTGATAAACACCATAACCAGCTTTGGGGAGGAAGGGTATATCTGGCTCACTATCCATCATGGAGGGAAGCCGTGGCAAGTAATTAAGGCAGGAGTCTGGAGGCAGGAACTGATTGAGAGGCCACAGAGGGACACTGTTTACCAACTGGTTTCTCATGGCTTGCTCACCCTGCTTCTTAACCAAGGACCATGTCCAAGGAATGGTAACACTCACAAGCTAGGCCATCCCATATCAATCATTAATCAAGAAAATCACCCCACAGATTTGCCCACAGGCCAATCTGAAAGAGGTGTTTTCTCAGTTAAAGTTCCCTCTTTCCAGATGATTTTAGTTTGTGTCAAATTGACAGTAAAACTAACCTGTTCACATACTACTCCATAATCGCAAACTTTTGAGCATAGCCATGACATAACAGTTGGAAAATTCTATCCCTGAACTCATAGGGCGCAGTCAAAATGCAGACATACAAAAAAAAAAAAAGAAAAGAAAAAGAAAACCACCAAAATCACCTTTATTCTACATGTACAAGGTATATCTGAAATATATGAATTTTATATACATACTTGGGTCCAATGCTCAAGATATCTCATCGCACATATACAAATATCCTAAAATCTTAGGAGTTGGAAAGCTGGAACATTTCTGGTCCAAGTATTTCAGGTAAAGTATATGCAACCATTACAATGTATTATCCATCATTCACTCATTCTTTGTTCTTCGTTGCTATTTTTGTTATAAGAAGTGAAATTCTTATACAAAATACATGCAAATATCATATGAGAAGACAACAAGCCAGGCAAGCAAAGTCAAATACAGTATTCCATTTATATGTGATGTCTAGACCAGGCAAATTCATAGACAGAAAAAATAGACTATGCTGGAAGCAAAGACAATAATTACTTCTTAGGAGATACAGAGTTTCTGTTTGATATGACTTTTTTTAAAATACATGTTTGATGGTTGTATATTCTGAATGCAGTGCTACTGAATTGTATTCATGTAAGCAGTTAAGATGGTAAAATTTATATTGTTTATAATTTGGTGCAATAAAACAGGTTTTTAAATGCATTCTGAGTGAATACTATAGCTTAATTGCAGTAACTCACACTATTTCTTATTTAAGGCAAATTTTAATATGAGGATTTTGGCTTTATTACTCATATGTTGTATTCATAGCATGTCTGTTTCTAGATCAGTAATCAGAAATAGGATAAATATTAGCCATACTGGGCCAGAGATATCATCTGACGCAGGAAACCACTAGACTTCTGAGAGTCAAATAAGAGGTAAAGTGGGTGGTGGTTTGTAATCTCTCTGAAGGGTCACAGGCCTGTAACAAGGAGCTGGTGCCCTAGAGTCACTTAACATCATAGCATTCCTTTTGACACTTAGATGCTGAGGATAGTAATATCCCAAAGGACCCTTCCCCACCCCACATCTTCATTTCTGCCATCAACTACTCTGTGCTTACCTGGGGTCACAAAGTCAACAGCAGTCACAGGCAGGTCTTTACCTGACATAAGTTCCCCTCTTCTCCTTCTTGGATGCCTTCTTTCTCATTGGAAATAATTTAGTGCAGTGTGGGAATCTAGAAGCCCTGGGACTTAAACCTTTTCCACTTGATTGTTTCCTCCACTGGAAACAGGGGAGTGTTTTTCCTCTGGATACTCCAGAGGGATGGTTAAGTACATAGCGGAAGGCAAAATAAAATCCCTTGGGTCACAGACATCTGAAGCATTAGAAACACTAAGGAAAATCATGTGTTCCCAACATTATCCCTTTATTCTTCGCTGTGAGGGTTTGAGATAATTTTTAATGGAAGGCACAAAATAGCTTTTCTAGTAAATGTTAACATTAGTCTGATATATTCACCATTAGCATAAAAATTATGCCAGTTTCCCCCTTAAAGGCAGCACCTACCTCCATACAGCATTACATTTGTCTTCCCAGATCTTCTGTTTAGAAGTGTAAAGGTAACTGTTATTACCCTAATTTTTCAAATATATACCCTCACTGGAGAGGATGAGTATTACAATCGACCAGAAAGGGCTCCCCTCTTGACTCCTACGCTCTCCCAGAACCCCTCCCAGAATCTTTTTCTCTATAATTGGATCACACTGCAGGGTCCTATACACTTAGAAAGGACTAGAATGACAGCAAATATTAAATACGATTGGCTTCTTGAACTACTAACTTCCATTTCCTTAGAAAACCTCATATTACAATTAACTTGAGACCAACAATTTTCTGCCACAGGTTAAGTGGTGACGGCCCTGCTAGCATAATAAGTAGTCAATTAGCTGGGATTCATTTGAGAGATTCCATTCCCGTTATTTTTAAGTTGGCAAATCTGAAATAGAATCCAAGCTTGACAAACTCCTCTCTCTTTTTTACAAACATTAAACAAAAATTTAAATACCAGTATAGTTTGAAAGATGGACCTGATAATTAAACTACTCAGGGTCTGAGCTGGCTGGATTCCTAGGAAACAGATGGATGAGAGACGATACGAGAGATGGCTATTCAGAGCCTATGACTAGGACCACAGGTAAAGCCAAAATGTGTTTTCATCTGAGAGCTTGCATTTCAGACCCATTTGCAGGGAGGTCGAAAATGACTCCAGATTTCACGGCACATAATGTTAAAATCCAACAGATACAAGTCTCTGATCTCCTCTCTTTATGCAGATAAAATGCCTGAAGTTTGGAAGACTTAAGTAGCTCATCCACAGCCTGAAGCCTGGCCTAAGAGAAGCAGGTACTTAGAATCTAGAGACCAACGTGCCCTGAAAGGCAGACAGAGTCTGTTAAATGGAACCCCTATTTCCAACTGAGATCCAGGGTGCTTTCAGAGATAGAGGAGCTTCGGTCCATCTAAGAAAGCATGTCTTGCGGTGTTTTCTTAAAGATACGAGAGATGAAAGCCCCCAGAGGCCCAATCTTCAATGAGCCACCATTCATGATTCATCAGTGAACCGGAAAGTACCAGGAAGCATGAGTTAGTGAGAACTGAGAAAGGAATGTAGTTTTTGGTCCAGATTATGTCCCACAAATGTTGGCAGGTGCATAGAAAGGAGATGGAAACCCATGGACAATGGGGAAGAAAACCTCAGGAATGAACGGGGAATGGTACTGGGCATTTGTGATTCATAGAACAGTAGGTTCAAGAATGTATTGAAGCTTTTTTTGTAACAGGAAGACTTTGAATTATTTGTCAAGTTACATTAGTTTATGACATGACTGAAGGCACACAAAGGTCTTTTGATTCCTGGTCCAATGTTCTTTCACATTATAATGGTGTTTTGTTTCGGTGTTGTTTCTTTTCAATACACACAAGACTTCGTGATAACCAGGGCCTGCAACCTTGAATGACAGCTCAGATCAGACACCAGAGTAAGGAGTTGTCAAACAAGGGAGTAAATATCAGGTTCTAGAGGCTGCCTTCTTCAGTACTGGTTCATCTATCATCCTCTCAGTCAGTTTTATCCAATTAATTACTTTTCCCACAGTCTATCAATTAGATGCAGTTTAGACCTCACTCTGAATTAGAAATCAACCACGCATTTCAGCCTAGAAACACAGAGAAGCCAGGATTATTTAAGTGTAACATCACAGAGCATCCTGACCATTTCAGGACTCTGAATCTTCACTGAGCCTCTTTGATCTTAACAAAGACACCTATTTGCTTGCATGTGCAGCTCACAACACAGAGAACTAGTTGCATCCTTCAGCTCTGCTCAGAGGAAGGCAATGTGGGATTTCACGCTCTGCCTGTCACTGTCTTGGAAAGGTTACGGATGCTTCTCTTTCAGTTTGTGTTCTCTAAGTGAATCCCACAGGTCATGAAGCAAATGCTGGGATCTGGAACCTCATGGTACAGGAAGCCATCCTCTGGGGGAGGGGCATTGTCTGTCTACCCCTCCCCCTCCCATCCAGTTGGCTCCCTATAGAGTTCACTGTGTGAGCTAAGAGTGATACTGAACACTCATGGCTCACACTCACCCATGTGTCCTGTCTGCCAGTACCCAAAGCAGACAGATACTAAACACAGAATGAAACGTACCATGTTAGCTTTTAGAACAAGGGACTGCACATTTTCACCTTGCTCTGAACCTCACAAATTATGTAGCTGGCTTTGTCCTTACTTGGCATCCCAAATCAGTGTTAACATTACATTTTTAACTAACTACAATTTGTTGGGTCTAATTTTACTAACAATGTCATATGGTTTCGATAACTCAGGTATTTTTTAAAAATGATTCGTCTACATTATTCTTATCAGAAGGTCACTTTAGCAACAGAAAACTCAGTGCTGTTGCTGTGTGTTGGGAACTTAATGCATGGAATCAAAAAGTAGTGGAGTTTGTTTTCACTGAGGTGGCCAGTGGAAGGGGGATCTCTTACTGAAAAGATGGTGAAATATTGTGCCTCTGTACTTTCTATTGCATTTAGGGAAAATTTAAAAATACAACTTGTTTGTATTTTTATTGGGCATGCATGCTTGTCTGTGTGTCTGTCTGTCTCTGTGTGTGTTCTTGTGGAAGTCAGAGAACAACTCAGGAATCTTCCTTAGGAGTACCATCCACCTTGTCTGAGATGGCATCTTTCACTGGCAGGAAGCTCATCAATTAGGCTGGGCCAGCCTGTCAGCAAACTTCACGGATCCTCCCACTTCCTGTGCTTCCAAGCCTGGCGTGTTCCCATGGACACTAGGGATCCAACCCAGGTCCTCATGTTTGCAAAGCAAGCACTGGACCAACTGAGCTGTTTGTCCAACCCTTGTTATTTCTTTCCTAGGCTGATGCAGTGGTTTTTCTACTCTCTAACAGCATTGGGTTAAAATGGCCAAAGTGAGTCACAGCAGAGGGACCAGAGGAAGTCCAGAACTGGCTTCATCTTCCTTTGGAGCATCGACCTTGTTTCAAATCTGAGGCTCTTACCTTGAGCTTGGCCAGAAGAAGCTCGTGATCATGAAGCAGTCTTTTGGTTTCATCTTGACTGCTCCCAATTTCTAGGAGATTGGGCTTCGATTCAGCCAGTTGGAGTCGTACCCATTTGCCACACTAAAAACAAAACTCGAAGTGAACTTTGATTCTCTCTCCCCCTTCTCCTTTTCCCACCTTTTAATTTTAATTTCCAGTTACACTATGAACACTTTCTCCTTATACGGAGATGGTGGAAACACAACAGGTCTAAAACCAACCCGTGCCGTGTCTTCTTTTATTCTCAACATTGTCTCATGGAAGGCAGGTTTGAATGCTTTAAATTCCCAAATGAGAAACAGATTGTCTAACGCACACTTTTCTCATTTGGGAATTTAAAAAAGCCAAGCCACTGGATGAATTCACACAAAACATCTCTAGATAGTGAGCGACACTTCATACAGGTAAAACGGGACGGAGTTTCAGTACAGACCAGACCCAGGTTTTTCTCATCCATCAATACACTCTTTGCTCTCCAAAGAGGCTGAAGAGCCTTTTCTTTGGAGATGGCAGTAGGGTAAGGGAGCTGAAGAAAGGACCATGAGTGGCCTTTCTGAGAAACAGAATCCAGCTTAAAAGCCTTTCCTATATAATTGTTAAAGTTTGCATGTTCTTTGTACCTTGACTATCCCATAGGTTATTCCCTAAGCATTGTGACTCAGCCTACTCTGAGTATTTTAAGTTTGAGGAAAAGTAATGTTTACTTAAAAAAAAAAGTCACAGATTTGCTTCTTTCCCATTCCTGTTGGAATCTGCATGTTGCCCAAAGCATCTTTAAATCCTGAAAAGTGACCTGATTTCACTGGGGAAGCCTCGGAGCCTTGCCATTCCCACTCACACCTCTGCAGAGGACAGGATGGGGAGCAGACCTGAGGTCCTGTTTGTTGTACAGAAGTCTCCCCGTCCTGGGAACTCCGCCTTGAGCAGAACCCTGCATTCCACGCTTCTTCAATGAATTACTTTGCTCAATGTCAAGTTCTGTTTTCCTCCTACAAATCTTCGTACTATTATAAAATCTTGCAGCAATTAAATTCGATGGCCTTCTAGCCAGGGTTTCTTTGTTTTATTTTTTTATTTTTATTATTTATTTATTTATTTTTACCAGGTTTGCTTCCATTAAACATGAATTCTTCAGGTGCCAAATCATCTAAAGAGCAAGCTTATATTTCAGAGGATCTTTCATGATGATTTCAGTCAGAGGAAAAACAAATCATGGTGCCTTCTACAACCCAAAATAATGTGTGGCCATCTTTGCAAACAGCTAGACATAAAACACACAGTTAAGCCCCAAGTCGTTGCACTTTCCTGTTCTCCAGAGGCAGTTTAATACATAGTCTGTGACAGTCTCCATCCCCCTACAATGGGAGAAGTATTTAGTGTTGCCTTTACCAGTGAAAACCGGTTCTGGGGGCACTTTCTGAGGCTCTTAGAGCTTCCAGTTCTGTCACGCTCAGGACAGTGCCCCACTCTGACCTGCCTCCTACATTCTCCATCACATCCACTCAAAAATCACAGGCACTATCCCAGCCACCGAACTCTCCTTTGCCTGCAAGTCCTGAATCTCCATCACACTCGCCTTGTCTTTAAGAACCAAACTGAAAGTACATAGAAAAGTTTGTTCCAAGGCTCTGTAGATGGTTTTCTAAGCTGAAAAGCAACTGGCAACTTGTTGAAACTTAGCAGTCCTCTGTCACTGATTTAAGTGGGGAAGATCACTTATTTGTCATCTGCTCTGCAGTGCATTATCCCCCAGGGCTCTCAGCCACTCCACAAAGAGCCCCCCAGCCACATAGAGAAAAGAAAGCTGTGAGTTTACCTTAACAACGGCTATCACGATCTTGGAGTCCCCAGCTTGCACCGCTACAGAGCTGACAGTGGTGGTGGAAACACCCACGTGAGGACTTTCTTTGCAGGACATGGCACTTTAGAAGCAGGGTTTAAACCTGGAGCAGCCTTGGTAGGGATGCTGTCTGCTGGTCATGTCAGAAGGCTTCCATGAGGCTACCGGGACTCATTCAGGGAACGCTCTCTGTTCACACTGATTACCCGGCCAAAAGGAAAGAACAGGAAGTTAAAAATAGACAGTCCCATTGAGCTTATCGAAAGGGAGGGGGAAGGGAGAGAGAGAGAGAGAGAGAGAGAGAGAGAGAGAGAGAGAGAGAGAGCCACACCCCTAGTATGGTAACAGTAAGTGCCTGTTATTTTTGCCATTATCTGAAACTCGAGGGACAGCTTTGAGCTCTTTGCCTATCAGCTGATGTCCGATAGCTAATGGAAAAAAAACCTCCATCCTGACAACCCAAATTAGTTTTGCCATTGAAACTAAACAGTTGTAACTATGGACTTTGCAACCAGAAAGTCACTGACCTGGAATACCAATCTTTTCAAGTCTTCTTCATGCAAAGAAAAGTACTAAAAATGATTCCTTTTTTTAAGTTCTGGTATTTGTTTGAGGAGTTAAGTCACAAAATTGCTCAAAATAAAATCTGTTTTTCTAAAACTGAATAGCCTTTGCCCAATGATGTCTGTGGAATGGTCCCATTTTCTCAGAGCTTCTTAGGAGTATTTTTAAAACATCTCACCCAGGATTTATCAAGAACTACACATATTCCCTGGATTTCTCTGTGACAATTTTCTGAACAATATTTTCAAATTCAGCTAGCAAACAGCTGTGAGGAAGTTCAGCACTTCCATGCTACTTGTTAACTGTCAGAGATGTGTTTTCTTTGTTAGTGAACATTTTGATTCTTTTTTGTTTGTTTTTGTTTTTGCTTTGTTTAGCCTCCTAGCACTGTTCTGGTTCCCCCTATCCTTTATTTTTTATTTTTTTGTAAATCCCCATTTCTACCTGGAGGGGAAAAAAATGCAACTAACTTCAAATCAGAGTGAGGCTCACAGATTAATCCTATTGCTAGAAGCTCTGCCCCTGTCAGAAGTTGTCTGTGGTATTAAGCAGCAGCTGTTGGATCCCTGTCAAAGAACAGCTGAAAATAACACCACTGAAGTTTAGGTCAGAGGTCAGAGGCAAACACATCAGAGACACTAACTCCAAATCTGATGAAATCACTTGAGAGCCCTGGGAAGAAAGATAAACCATAGGACTGAGCTGTAAACAGAACCAAAGGAACCCACTCCCTGTGTAGCCCCCTTAGCTCTGAGTTAAAGCATGTTAGACTCCGGGCTGATGCGGAGGGGGCAGAGTAAGCAGCACCATTGCTTTCTTTTGCTAAGGCTTGTGAAAATATTCTTGAGTTGAAATGTGTGGGAGTATGCGTGCACACATACCTGGGTGTCAGCCATTGCTCCTCTTTCCAAGAGCTTGCCCTGGCTGCTCTGCATACTGTACACCCTTGACCCTGGGCTTCTGCTTTCAGCATCTGCCTGCTGCTCTGATGAGATGGGAAACACACCAAGATCCCTGTTCCTAGATTGAACAGACTTCACCTGACACCATGAAGGCAGAAGCCTGGGTTGAGCTCTAGTCTGCAGATGCCAAGATCCTGGACAGTGTAGAACCTATTCAGAGTGGTTTCAGTTTGTGGCAGGGCAGAGGAGCTCACAGAGAAATAGCCACTTCAGAATATTAAAGACAGTTTCTTCCACTGAGCCAGTATCTAACCAGGCTGTATAAAACAAAACAATTCAATTACATCAGCTTTCAGCCCCAATGTCAGAGATCCAGAACGGCCGTGGCTTAAACAAAATGCACAGTGGGTATTGCTTAAGTCCTTATCCATCTTGCCAACCAGAACAGCAAACAACCTGCATGCAAACAGCACACTTTCACCCTAAGTTAACCCCGGGTTGCACGGCTCACAAGTCGCATAAAGGCCCTCAAGAGCGGAAGGGAATTTGGGGCAGCAAGCTGCAAAGAGCACAGGCTAAGTCAGCTGCTCCCTCACACAGCTTCACTTAGGGATGGAAGATTGTGTACAAGGTTTGGAGGACAGAAGAGAGGGACTTCTGAAAATGGTGGTCAGTTAGACAGAAAGGGGAGAGAGACAGAAAAAAAGGAGAGCACATGGCTGAAAGGCTAGTTAAACCCAAGGCTTAAGGGCAAGGGGAATTAGAACTAGGACTTTGTTAAAAGATTAATCCAGCTACTCAACAACATATTTTGTGTGTGGATGACCTTTCTCTTAATTAGATGGAACAGGTCCAGGGTACTGAATGAAGAAAAAGGAAAATAAAAAGGTTCTCTGCTTTGGTGGACACAAACATTAAGGCAAACTGCATGCATCCATTAAAGTGGATTCTTTCTAATTATTACTCAGATTCCTTGTCTTAAAACTTGAAAGAGACTTGAATAATTATATTTTTCCCTTTTTTTTTAATTTTTAGACTCTACCTCTTAGTAATTTAGTGGTCCTCTCTACAGAAACCATGTGGCTCAGATCACAGAATCAAAAACCTTGCTGTAATCTTCCTCTAGAGCAGTGGTTCTCAACCTTTCTAATGCTGCAACCCCTAAGCTCATGCTGTGGTGACCCCCAACCATAAAATTATTTTCATTGCTACTTCATAACTGGAATTTTGCTACTGTTATGAATCATAAGGTAAATATCTGTGTTCTCCAATCCTCTTAGGTGATCCCTGTGAAAGGGTCATTTGATCCCCAAAGGGGCCACAACCTACAGGTTAAGGACCACTGATCTAGAATAATGCTTAGTTACACAGTCATTAATTCCACCACATATATAGGGAATAGTTAGTAAGAAATACATTGGAGCTGAAGAATTTGCTACATGCTGCTCAAGTGGATTTTATTCATATTAAAGTGTTTGTAAAAGCCTCTGAGTTAGTTTATTTATACTCACTATCAACATCAGAAAGGAAAAAAAAAGTCAAAATGAAGAGAGAACCTTGCAGGCATTCTCCTGCCTTTGACGTTTATAGGCGACCTGGCAGACGTTCCTCTACCTTCCCTGTTCATCCCTCTGGGAAATGGCTGTTTTTATATGAGCTGAATCTCAGTGAAATATCCTCTGTGGGGAATCATAAAACTGTGACTGAATTTGGTAGAGTTTCAAATAGCAGGTTCTTAAAGAAATAGAGAGAGAGAGCAAGCTGATGTTTGAAGACCCTTTGTGCAGTTCTTTTCAGCTCCATCTATGGACCTGCCGTCCAAATGCTGTTTCTTTTCTACACTGTTTACACAGAGAATAGGCTCCTTTTTCTTTCATGAACAGTTCCAGGTGTTTGTATAATTAATATTGGGTTTTTTTTTTACTTTACAAAGACAAATTGCATAGACCCAAATATAAATAACTGAGAATAAGTGTATTATGATAGTTTTATTTGCAGCCTCCTCATCAACAATTTATTCTTCCACACACGTGCTCAAGCATATCTTTGTTCATCATGGAGGACTAAATATGTGTCTGTTAGTATCAAACACTATTCTAGACATTAAGCACATAGCAAAAACAGGACAAGGTCAATCTATGATGGTTTGCCATCTGGGGTGGGAGGTGGAGACATAACCAATTGGGTAGCAAACATACAAATAGAATAGATGATAGGTGGATGGACAGATAGATGATAGACAGACAGAGCACCATCACATATTGAGAACTACAAAGGAACACACACACACAGGGCTAGGAAGGAGTAAATAGGGCACTGTTTTAGGAGCATCAGTAAAGGTCTAATAGGTAAGATTTGAGTAGAGGCTTGGATTAAATAGAAAGAACAAGGCATTCTGTATCTCAGAGAAAGACTATCCCAGGCAGCTGGGGCATGTCTTTCTTCTTGAAAAGCATCCAATAAGTTGTTGAGCTAAGTGAGGCCAGAGAAGGAGACAGAGATAGAATTGAGAGGCTTCTGGCTAGTTCCCACAGGGCCTCTTGAGTAAGTGCCACTGGGTCCTGGTTTGCTCAGATGATCCTGGTTTACACCTGTTCTGCCATAATTACTCTTAAGGCCCCTGTCACGATCAAAAGGCTCCATTTGGATGATAAATTATGTGCTAAACCTACTGGCAAGGCAGTCATGACGCTTTTGGATTCATAGGGCCATGCTGGGATGACCACCACACCACCGAATATACAAAAGGCCACATAAGGCCATGCTGAGATGCTTTCTTTTGAAAACCTAAGCCATGCTGAAGAAGAATGACATTCATTTGAAAGATAAAGGCTCCTACCTGTAGTTTTATTCTCTTTGTGAATTGAGCTCATAGATTTCCTTATAGCTAAACATGTTGATTGTCATCTTTTAGTCCTTAGTTTCCCCCATGAGACCTGGGAGAATACTTACAGACAAGCAACTTTTATATCCAATACCTTTCCCATCTATAACTGATAAGAAAAGCAAAAGGAAATTAGATGTTAAATGAATACATAAGTTGGCCAAGAGATCCAGGTGGAAGAGGATTCCCGCAATTGGTGTGTGAGGTACAGTCCGCACTTCTCCATGATCACACATATAGGGATGTACAGTTCTTCTTGCAAACTCTCCAAAGCATCAACATAACGTAGAAAGAATCCAGAAATTAGCAAAGTTAAAATGAATAAAAGACAAAGGAATCTTGGTGATTCAAGCAAATTCCTTTCTGGGTGAGAATAACATTTACAATATTTCAAGCCAGGGGTGAAAAGTATTTAAAATCATCTAAAAGCTTTTTCTGCATAAACTTTCATCTTAAATATTTAAGCCCCATCACTTTCTACCTGTCTTGCTCTACATACTCAGCATCCAACATAGCTGAAGTCCCTCTTTAAATACATACATAAATACATACAGATGGACGGACGGACAGACAGACAGACAGGCATGGGATTTGTTGAGTTTGAGTTTGGAAAATTGAATTTCGTTTGTTTTCCTTTACTGTTGCTAAACTCCAATTGAGGCTGAGACTTTCTATCTCAATGTAATCCCCAGGGAGGTCCCAAGGGCCAAAGTCATTCTGGGGAAGCCAGAGGGACAGACTCTTTTAGTGAGCTGACACTTCTGTGCCTTTTGCCAGGAAGACTAATGACCTAATACAAACCCAATGGCATAAAACTCAGATGCTCCAAATAGTGTGGCTATGACCCATGGAGTCCAAGCAGGAAATAAGAGGTTAAAAGGAAAGCATTTTAAAACATGGGTTTTATTAAGAAACATTAAGACACAATTAAGGAGACCTATACACTACTAAACATGGTAAGTGGT